ACATTTGAATTTTATAAGGAAAAAACTAATTTATTTTTAGCACCTTATGAACGGAACCAACAGAAGTGTTTGTTATTAAAGTACTGGAATGTATTTTATATAAAAAGATTTATTGTCAAATAAGTAATGATTTTTCCCAATATCAACATGGATTTGTAGAAAAACGTTCCACTATGTCGAACTTGGCCATAATTGCACAATACCTAGCTGATGAACTCGATAATCGCGGGCAAGTCGATGTAATATACACAGACATCCAGAAAGCATTTGATCAAATAGACCATGATGTTCTTTTAAAAAAAATATTTATCTTTAATTTTGATGAAGATCTTGTACAGCTGTTTGAAAGCTACCTATTAAATCGAGTGCTATTTGTTGAAATAAATAATTATCAATCTAATACATTTGTTGCTACTTCAGGAGTTCCACAAGGGTCTAATATGGGACCTTTGTTATTTTTAATTTTTATAAATGACCTGCCTAATTTTATTGGATGCTTTAAACTGTTATTCGCAGATAACCTTAAAATTTATACATCAGTTAAGTCCTTATCAGATTGTATTTGTCTGCAATCCAATCTTGAATTTGTGTCCCTGTGGTGTAAACAAAATAGTCTAAAATTAAATATTTGAAAATGTAAAGTTTACTAAAGTAAACTAAAATTAATTTTTTTTTATAATATAAATGGCACTGTGCTTGAACAGGTTAATACAATCAGGGATCTGGGTGTTGTCTTTGACTTGGTACTGTCATTTGATGATCATATATCAATAATGATAAAGTCTTTTCTTAAAATGCTTGGTTTTATTATTAGAACGTCAAAAAATTTCACAAGCATTGATTGTTTAAAAATCTTGTACTATTCTTTTGTAAGATCTAGACTAGAATATGGGTGCCTTATCTGGTATCCCTATTACAATCATTATAAGAATAGTATCGAATCAGTACAAAGGAGATTTGTGAAGTTTTTGTCTTTTAAAATAGATCGACGCTACCCCGAGAGAGGCTCGGATTTGTCTGGATTTATGACCAGGTTCGATATCCAACTTTTGGAATTGCGTAGAAGAATTTTATCTGTAACTTTTTTATATAATTTGTTGCACAATAATATTGTAGTGATCTTTTATCAGAAATTAAGCTCATTGTACCTAGTAATACTCGAAACCAGAAAACTTTTTTTATTCCCAGAGCAAATACTAATTTACTATTTAAGTCACCAGTTTTTGTTATGTGCAACAACTTTAATAGTATTTGTGTAATGTGTGATATTTACCACTTTTCTTTAAAAAATATTATAAACTTTATCTGTTAATTTGAATGTCCTTTTTGGTTTTGTACTGTTGGGCAATAAACGTTATTATTATTATTATTATTATTAAAGCAGCTACTTTTGAAATGGATGTGGATCTCACAGCAAAATGACCAAGAACTTTAATTTGTGCAGCTTTATCCAGTACACTCGAACTTGTTACTCAACAGGTTACTGACGTATTGACGGCCTACATTTTTGCCTATAGGCAACCGCACGCGTTTACTCTATAGAGTAAACGCTTGCGGTTCCACGAGCGAATCAAATCCGTGAATAAAAATTAATTTGGTTCTTTCTGCCAAAGTAGGTAGGTATTTTTCTAATTTTTATAATTTTTTTATATAATTTTTTATGAAATTCTTTACCAATGAAAAGATATACATTTTCTAAGCAATGATGCCATTACAAAATGTGACTTTTACATAGTGGTCGTAAAATAAATTGTTTTTAGACTGTAAACAAATAATTTACATAATAGTCAAGTGAAAAAGCCAACTTAAAGCCAACTAATAAAATTCAAATAAAAAAAAGGTTTTTTTATTTGTTTCAAATTTTAACATTTGATATCATTAAAATGAAAAAGTATTATTTATGCAGGGTGAAACGATATTGAATTTTTCTTTAGACTTTTAACAAATAATTTAGATAATACCCAATTGAAAAAAGTCAAAAAATGCGAAAACCCCTTGTTAAATAAAAAGTATGGCCAAGGGTTAAACGACATCGGAAATTTGTTTTACAACATTGCTTTTAGACTGTAAACAAATAATATAGATGATATCCTAGTGAAAAAAGACAACTTGGGAAATATGGACGTCCTATATACAAATAGTACGCTGCGTACTGTACGCATAACCTTCGTTCCAATATTTTATTTAACGTGTTGGTTTCATTTAATATTCATTTAAATCTGCAATTTCTGTGTAAAAACGCTTTAAAAAAGAAAGTTTACATGATAGTAAATTTTACTAAGTAAAAATATTCGGATTTAGATCTAGAACAAAAAATTACTTAAAAAAACAATTTTAAAATCAAACATTAAATTTCAAGCAGGTAATTTCTTTACAAATAAAAATATTTTAGGAATAATTCTTAAAATAAAATATAGCAGTTTGGTTTTATTTTTTACCATTAAGTTGACAGATGTCAAATTCATGAAAACAGTATAAGTAACTAATGGATATAAAATTTAATTGAAAATTCCACACCTGTAATTTTTAACCAATTAAAACGTGTATTTTTGACAGATAACTATGGCAACGGATGAATTTTAGTGGACATTTTTTCCTCGTGGGTACCCAACAGCGAATTATACTGGAAATTTTTTGACGTTTATAATGATATATTTTTTTGACAATCTGGTTTTCATTTGTTTACATGATAATTTTGATACATTTCCATTACAAAGTTTAGATGTTTTCTATATTCGTTGGACACCTCCTTTCTTCTTAATGGCGAAAATGCAGGACTTGAAATAAATTAAATGTCTATGTCTAATAAAATATATATAATATTTAGACACTATTCTATTCACCTTTTTTCCATTTTTTGAATTTTGAATAGTTAAGATGCAAATATTCGTGAACAATTCAAAACAAATTTTCTTTCTTCAAGTAGGAGCCACAATCCTCTAATAATGCGGGTAAATAAGTTATCTAGTTTCCGAAATATCAATTATTACTTATTACATACCTTAAAGTAATGAAATTTTCTTTAAAAAAATATTCATAAACTTTGACACATACGTCAGATTTTATGAATTGTCAAATAGTTTCCTTTAATTTGAGAAATAATCTAGACGTATATCACTCAACCTATAAATTTAATCTGTCAAACTATGCTCAGTAAGTTTTTTATTTGATTTTTTTTTTTGGAAAATAGTTTCATGCAAAATAATTAAAAATAAAACCCCTCGACCGCTACGTGGTCTCGTGATTTTATTAAATTATTTTGCATTCAACATTTTCCAACAAAAACCAAACAAAAAACTACTGAGCCTAGTTTAACCGATTAAATTCATAGTTCTCGTGATATAATATATGATTATTTCCCTCATTATAATATGAACCAATCAAATGCCTTGAATTTTCGAATAAATTTCGTTTAAATAAGCGATTAAATCACTAGAACTACTTAACAGCGATTAAATTTTAGCCTCCATATTTTGAGATACTACTTTTGAGATACTACAATCAGTATAAATCAACAGTTTATAGGCTAAGAATCCATTGGTGACAAGACAAACTAAATTTGTTCATGTATGTTTCTATGGAACTAATAAAAATTTTATTTTCTACCACTTGTAGTAGCCCAAATAAAAAATCAAAGAATCTAATATGTTTCATTAAAAAACTGCATAACCTTGTAACTACAACAAGTAAAAATCAATATAGGCTGAAAAGCCAATTTTAGTTATTTAAACACAATTTGGTGTGGAATTTTCTTACCGAATACCACACTAGGTCAAATTAAATCCGTAAATTTTTTCTCGCTTATGAATATTTTTAGAAAATTATCCCTCGCCTTCGACTCTTTTCGAATAAATTTCGTTTAAATAAGCGATTAAATCACTAGAACTATTTAACAGCGATTAAATTTTAGCCTCCATATTGATTTTTGTTTACGATTTTATGGTGTAATTTACAAGTTTTAACAAACATTTTTTAAAAAACAATAAAAAATACCTAAGTTATACGAAATATTAATTATTACTTATTACATACCTACCTTAAATTAATGGAATTTTCTTTAAAAAAATATTCATAAACTTTGACACATACGTCAGATTTTATAAATTGTCAAATAGTTTCCTTTAATTTGAGAAATAATGTAGACAACCTATAAATTTAATTCAACCTATAAATTTAATCTGTCAAACTATGCTCAGTAAGCTTTTTATTTGATTTTTCTTTTTGGAAAATAGTTTCATGCAAAATAATTAAAAATAAAACCGCTACGCGGTCTCGTGATTTTATTAAATTATTTTGCATTCAACATTTTCTAAGAAAAACCAAACAAAAAACTACTGAGCCTAGTTTAACCGATTAAATTCATAGTTCTCGTGATATAATATATAAAAATATTTTAATAAAGAAAGTGACATCTAGTACCTAAACTAATAGCATGTTAAATATGTATTCAATGAATCCATGAAAAAAACAAAATTAGTAAATAATGCTGTGTAATTTTTAAATACTTAAGATCATTTCCTTTAAAATTCATAACGTATTTTCTAAAACAATTAAATTAAATATTAATTTAAAAAAAAACGAAATTTGTATAATTAAGACAAATTAAAAACAGATTACAAAACCACAGGATTAAATACATTTTTGCTTTATTTTTCCAAGTAATCCGAACTAAACATTCAAACCGCTAAGCCACCTCTTTACTCCTACCACCTAATGCATTTATCTCGCAAAATTCCAAACATTTCGTCTGTTTATTTGCTTATCTAATTCGAGGGGAGCACACTTGATGCGACCGAAATCCGGATCGACGAGGAAAAAATAGAGAGCAGCGCTAAAAAGCCGCCCCCGTAAACAGGAACAACCCTTCGCAGCTTCGGCGGCGGTGGCTCCTCCTACGGGAGACCTGCCTCCCACGACCGCGTGACGTCACTGTGCGCGCGCCAACCCCGATCTAGGTCATCTAGCATGACCTTTAGGCGAAGCTACCGACCAAGCTTAGACGTCGCACAGCTTTGCAAGCACAGTCTTCGCCATGGCACAAAACACATCCAACTACAAGCTCAGTGCAGCTGCTGGGAACCTGCGTTACAATGGTAAGTCAACTTTTTATCACTATTTTTAACCCTTACATAAAAATACTCCCTTTTACATAATGGAAAAAATCATCCGAAAAGCTCAAACTCGCTCATTATCTCAAAAAACGTATTTTTAAAACATTTCTTAGTTAAATGAGCATTTTTGATGATTTCTTCCTTTGTTTGACTAACTTTGGTTGATATTTTTCAACATTATTTAATAAAAATATCCAAAAATCATCTTTCCAAAACTTTTTTCAGTTAATATAGCATTTTTAATGGGTTCTTCCTCTGTTAGACCAACTTTGGTGGCTAAATCATTAGTATATATAAGTGAAATAGCATTTTGTAATTTAATTTGCCTCGTTAAAGATGGCGGACCAGCTGCAGATCGATACAATCTGTAGGCGAAATTTTTTTTCGACGCCATTTTTGAAACGTCATCCACGTGACCATATCGATAATCAATACATAGCAAATATATAACTTTAAAAACCAACCTAATTAAATATTTAACAATATTATTTGCTAATCATATTAAAGAATTTGTACATTTTCTATACGTTTTATTTTAATTTTTTCACGGTAGTATTTATCATTACTATGACATATTATGTAAAGTGGTTTATTATTTTCTTAAAAATTAATTGACACTGACATTTGTCATCGAATCTGTCGTTATGATATATATTATATAAATATTATAATTATAATTACACAAAATTGTTCTAAATTCTTTATTAAAATTAGAAAAATTATAATGTTCAACTCTTGATGACTCTTCGGATGAATTACTCCAATATTTCATCCTAATGGAAATAACAAACTTTCTCAATAGTTAAACAAAATACTATTTTCTGATTCCACATTGACAATACGAGACTTTATGGCATTTTAGTCAGGGAAAAGAATATTTTTAACAAACGTTGCAATTGTTTGAGCCTGATTGCTTTGAATCAAACAACTGACATTTAATTCAAAATTAGTGCTTTTGCTTAGAATGGGTGAACTGCTTTGCCAGAAATGGATGATGCGTTTAGGCTGCTGTGTTTGCTTGGATTATTATTAAGTTCTATGCAAACTTTGTACTGATAGTCAATAATATTAGTTTTTTGAGAACAAAATTGTATACTTTCATCTTCATAACACTTACCAAAATTTACTTGCGGCACGTTACAATTTGAAAAAATTTTTTTTATAGTTTTTTGGCATCCCTGGTCTATTATATTACTCCACGAGGTGGCCCATAGTACAAAGTCTGTACTGTAAAAACACATAGGCCATTTCGTGAGAATAGAATAGACCATCGTAAGTTAATCTGCGAAAAATCTCATTTTGTTTTTCAATTTTGTGGGTTAGGCCACTTCGTGATAAGGCCGACGATTTATACAATATTCTTAAGCATTATGGCGTTTCATCCAAAGAAACCGTAATTTCTTCAGAAATGCGGGTACGTTTAATGGAAATGAACTTTATTGGTAACAAGCAGATACCAATTTTTCCTAAAGTTACTTGCCAAGAAATTCAAAATTAGTAAGTTTGAGGCAAACTTACATCGATTCATACAAAATCGACTATACTGGTAGCAAGCAATTACCAATTTATCAGAAAAGTATTCAACAAAGAATTCAAACTCAGCAAATTTGACACAATTGTGTCAAATCTACACGCGTTTCGTTCAAAAGCAGTTTTCCGGAAGCTCCAAAGTTTTTTACCATTAAACCTGGGTATATTCCTCCGTATTTAAATTTGTCATACGTTTTAAACAAACGTTATGCCTTTCGCTGAAATAAAACCTTCTCTCAGTGTAAAATTGGCTTTAAATTCTCTTTACGTTTACAAAAACATATATTGTTAGATTTAAATGGTTGTATACAAGCATATAGGCTCCATGGTTAAATGGCCCATACAAACAAACAAAGATAGAAAAAGTTTAGCTTAAAGCAGCAACACAAAAAAGATATTCAACTTTAAAACATTATTAACAATATTTGTATATTTTTATAAAAGTAGCAGTGGCGCATTGGTTAGACATCCGCTTGACAACCGACATACCCAAATTCAAACCCCGGCTGTATCAAAATAATTCTAAATTTAAATCTACTTATTTGACTATTATATTTTGTAAAATTTATCTAATTATAATTATTATTGACTTCATTTAAAGAGAGTATGCAACTCGTTTTATAAACTTCTCTAGACACTAGTTTTCATAAAACACTTGCTCGAAAGCTTCGATCGTGCCTAATAAAATTTTTTTTGGTATTATATTATTACATAAATGTATCTACATTATTTTTTTGAAAAAAGAAGGAGAAAATTACTTATTTATTGCTAAACCTATTAATTTTATATTCTTCCTTCCTATCGCTAAAATTCATTTAGAGTTAGATTACATAAAAATATTAAATAAAAAATAAATAAATTTGGTCCTTCTTATTAACATTTATTTATATATAATTACATAAAAATATTAATTTTTGTCCTTTTTTAAAACATTTATATAATTATCGAGAGTGCAATAGTTTTTGAGGTGCAGGATGTTCAAATTTCAAAAAAAATATTGTTTATTAATACTATTAATTTAGTAATGTAGTATTACACTAAAGATTTTAATCTCGACTGTAAAACCAACTTACTCGCAATTTTTTATCAGTTTTTTAACTTTAACATTTTTTTCTACAAGCGTGCGGTAAGTTGCTACTTATATTTTCATATTGAATTATTTTTAGCAATATTTTTTTTATTTCAATAAAAAATACTATTAGAGGCTTCATGGTTTAATAATCTTATTCCTGTATTGCGTATAGTAAGCGTGCAGAAAAGTAAAACATTGCGCACGCATATGCCTGCCTGTAACCATTACTTGAAGTTTGGAAAAAAAATGTTAACACATTAAATAATTCAAGAATAATTTTTATTACTGTTTTTTTAAATGCTTTTTTTAAATGAATAATATACTTGGTAATTATTTTTATAATAACAACTGTTATAATTATATAATAATAATTATAATTATAATTATAATTAGTAAATCCGGTATTGTATAAAACCTATAGGTTTATTACTATCATCCTTTCAAATAAAGGGGTCTGTCATCACTTTAAAAAAGTTCTATTTTTTTTACTTTCGGATGAAATTGTTCTGTTATGATGTAACCTAATTTCTTATGTTTTCATTTATATTTTATCAAAAATTTTATTTTTGCACAATAAAAGTAAAAAATATGTTTGAAGTTCCTTATGATACTTTTTGTTTATAATATAAACTATGTCATTTCCCAGATATTCAATTAAAAAATGTTTAGCCAATTTTGTTTTTATGAAACAAAAATCTTTAAAAAATTGTTATTTTTTTAAGGTTGGCAGTTTCTTTTAAAACTTTTTTGTTTATAAGCTATTTGGCACATATTTAATAAAAAACTCGTTTACTCATCCCAAATGCCCACTATAATTTTTGTCAATTTTTTAATAAAATGAAAATTTTTTAGAGTTCCCAGTTTCTTATAATTTTATAATCTTATAAAATAAATTATTTAACACCTATTTAAGCAAACATTTTGTTAAAGCACCAAAGGCTGGGCTGGGCCTGGGCCTGGGCAAAAGTCCAAATAGTCAACTTTATCTAATCAAAAAAATAATACACCAATGTGAAGAAAAACCGTTAATTTGTAAGAGTTAAAAAACACTTTATTTCAAAAAGATACAGCTGTTTAAAGTAAAGCAATACGGAAAAAAATTAGATTTTAGTTTTGAACGGAATTTTTTCAGCCTTTAAGACGCTGTTACTTCTTATACATAACAAAAATATTAAAAAAAAAACATGGTTTAAATTAAAGATGTATGTAATAGGATATTGTAAAATTATTTTATTAATTGTACTTATAAAGTTATAATAAATAATATAATACCTCGTCAATAAAATTTTACACTTAGCTAGGGATAAGTTATGCGGTCCAAGTTGGTCCAGAAAAAAGTTTACATCAAATTAAAGCCCAAAGAATAACGAATAAGGCTATATATGGTTATTGACACTTAAATTTATAAAAGGCCGCGCGTTTAAAATTTTGTATTTAAAATTGTTAAACAACTATAGATTGCGCTCTTCTTAAAGGGCTTTTATAATCTTAAGTTAAGATTCTTAACTATAATAAATATAATATTATGATCTATTGTTAATTTTTTAATATTACATATAAAACCATTTATTAATAAATTTTGTTCTGAACATTTTCTTTGTTTTAAATAAATTATTAGTTTCTTAAAACAAATCATGTATATATAGCTATTTGTAATCTTTACATTGTACTACTTTGAGGTAAAAATAGTTTACAGTAATAAAAACCTTTATGTACCTTTTTTTGTATATTTTTAGGTATAATTATATATATATATGTATACAGTGTGTCCACGGATGGACTTGTAAAAACTTCTATTTTGTTATACAGGGTGCTCGAAAAAAAAAATACAATTGTTGATTTTGCCAAATTAAAATTTTTTAAATATTTTTTTGAAGAGCTTGTGAGTAACCAAAAAGCCAAATAAAGTTTTTTCATGCGAGTTGTTGTTACTTGGATATTTCTTATTAAAAATAAAATCAGGTCCTAACTTGAGTGGTCCTATTATTTTGAAAAATTAACTGCTATCTCATTTTGTGATTATGAATCAAGGTTGTTGCTTTCAACTGACATATCTACAATTATTTGTTAAAATTTGAAAACTAATATCTTAAATTTTCAATATCAAATATCTTAGTATCAAAAACTCATATGAAAAAACTTAATTTGACTTTTTGGTACTCTTTATATTAGAGCTTAAAAAAATATTTAAAAATCGTATTTATATAGCAAGCAAAAGAAATGATGAAAAATGACTTTTTCTCGAAAAATTTAAAATAAATATTTTTACAAGTATAGTTAGGTCCATCCGTGGACACACTATATATCAGGGTGATTCAAAAAATTTAGTATTCTTTTTTTTTGACTTGATATTGAAAAATTGGTTGCTGGGCATGCCCAG